GAGCCGGTGACCAGCTCTACCGCTACGAGGACCAGTAGGAAAACTGGAATTAACTTTCGCAAGAGACGCACATTAGAACATTGTTTCTAGTTCCTGGAGAGTCATACCCACAGCGAGTACCAAAAATTCATAGTTTTCAGAGGTTTTGTTTCTTTTTTTTAAAGCAGCTATCATTTCTCACATGCCTAACGTGCCATGTCAGGGAGCCCTGGTGGTGTAGTGGTTATGTGTTGGGCCACGATCCTCATGATCCGCAGTTCGAAACCAAGAGCAGCTGGGGGGGAGGAAGGCAGCGTTTTCTATGCGCTGCCCCCCCCCCCAACAGTAACAGTCTCGGAGAGCCACAGGGGGGCGGTGCTGAATCAGCCTCGACTCGATGGCCGTGGGAAAGGACACACCGTGAGCCTTTGCATGATCTCATACTGATCACGGCTCTGGAACATTGAAACCGTTATTTAGCAGACGAGGAAACTGATGCTGAGGGAGCACACGTGATTCTTCTCAGACCACACAGACGGAAGTGCTAGGGTTGGAATCCAGACACGTGCATGGCCGCTGCAGGGCCTGGACTTGATCAGCCATCACGTGTGACCACTGAAGGGGGTGAGGGGTTGCCTCCTGAAACTACTCGAGGCCACGTGGAGACTGGGTTGTCAAGAAGCGAAGTGACCTGCTCAAAGTCTAGCAAACGACAAGCGTGAGACTAACCCAGGAGGGCTGCTGACTTTCCTGCCCGTATTGCTCCCTGAGCACCAACTCTGCTAAACTGGGCAGCACGACACCACCGAGGGGCACTTCCTCTTCTTCTTTTTTGAAGAGGAATAATTTTACTTCTTTATTTATCCTCTAGTTCTTTCTTTCTTTTTATTTATTTTTAAAATCATTTTATTGGGGGCTCATGCAACTCTCATCACCATCCATCCATCGTGTCAAGCACATTTGTTCATGTGTGGACATCATCATTCTCAGAACATTTTCTTCCTACTTGAGCCCTTGGCATCAGCTCCTCATTGTTTTCCCCTCCCTCCCCACCCCTCTCTCCCTCACGAACCCTTGATAATTCATAAATTATTATTGTGTCATGTCTTACTGATGTCTCGTATCACCTATTTTTCTGTTGTCCATCCCCCAGGGAGGGGGTTATATGTAGATCATTATGATCAACAAAATAAAACAACAACAACAAAAGAGAAAAGCCTGTAAATAGTTCAAGGTCTGTTTGTTGACCTGTAGGAGTGTTTTCCGGTCAAGTCTGGTAGGGTGCCTTGCCCTGGTCCCGAAGTCTATTTTTGGCATTCCCCGAGGACTTTGTTCCTCTGTTTCCCTTGCTGTTCTGCTGCATGCCCTTAGTGTTTCATCTGTGTGGTGAGGTCAGATCAGGTGCAATTCTCACACTGTATCTCCAGTGTTGTCCCCTGTAGGGCTTTGGATCAGTGAGGGAATTTGTGCCTCATAGTGGGGTGGCTCTATGGTCCTCTCTGTGCATTGGCTGCTCTGAGTGGGAATATCGTCCTCAAGGTTTGGTGGGCCAGGATGTGCTCCACTCTCTCTTCCTCCCCCTGCATTTGCTTCTGTGTGCTCTGATCAGACATGTCCCTCTCCCTGAGTTGTAGCTTCAGTACCTGTCCCCTAGAGGCACTTCTAACACAATCCAGAACACTTCTCTAGAAGGATAGTCAGTCTCTCTCTCTCTGCCTTGTCCAACACTACTTAAAATTAAATATAATAGAAAACTTAATTCCCTTAGTCTCACATTAGTCACCTTTCAAATACTCAGTAGCTTGCATGTATCCAAACCCAAACTCACTGAGTCTATTCAGACCCAAAGCGACTCCACAGGACAGAGAAAAACTGCTTCTTTGGGTGTCCAAGACTGTAAATGCTTAGGGGTACAGCAAGTCTCTTATAAAAAGAGATGAGACTCAAACGCAGAAGGACGCTGACCGTATGAAGACAGGCAGAGATCAG